AAAAAAAAAAAAAAATGGATTTACTAAAGAAATTTTGGAGTATCTATGTTTTACCGTGTAAGTTGTTTATTTTATTATTTTATTTTTTATTTTTTCTTACACCTCCCGATTAACATATGTGTGTACGGACGTTGTATCTTCGTACTTTCAATGTCGCAAATAAAATATAGTAGTTAGTTTAGTCTTAGTTAAGAATAAGATCATGTGGTATCTTTCTGTTGCTTTTCCCCTTGAGTAATTTCCTTTTACCCCTTCACACGTGTTGCTTCTAGCTAGTATAAAATGGTCAAAGTTTGCAAGTTATTTTATACTCTCACTTAGCAAATTAAGGTACATAAGCAACTCTATTTTAAAGTAACATTTTATTAAATATTAAGTTTTTCAAGTTTTTACTAACTTGAAGAAGTGCATTTTCAGTCAAATCCTTATAAGCAATATAGTAATAAATCAAATTTCTCAAATAATCAGTCAAGCGACTAAAAAAAGCAGACACAATATTGGTAATGAATCGACACAACCGAATTGGTTTTCTATTTGATGAACGACTATTTGTAGGTTCGAACATAAGTGAAACGATATATCTTAGATTTTTTATTTTTTATTTTTATTTTTAATTAAGAAGTCTTCAGAAACATGACTTGAAGCATTTGACACATTTAAGCTGACAAGTTCAAGGGCATTTGATCTAAGTATTGACTACACATGATTCAAAAACCTAACGACATAGTATGACTTGAATATATCAAGCTTTATCTTTTGTTGAATGAAATTTTTTAACCAAATTTACACGTATTATCAATTACAAAACTCATATCAAGTTAACTTTTGATAATTGCGAAAAATAGTTGAAAGATATGATCCAACGGCTAATCAAATCTATCAGTCACATTATTTATATTTTTAGGCCAATAATATATACTTGAAAAATGAAAAGTCATGCTTCTAAATTTGTAAACTTTCAAATACAATACATTATAATGATATGTGTAAACATAGTATTGTCTACTCACATATTCTACTACAAATTGGCCATAAATATCAGTCACAACTCATAACAACACGATGGACACTATAATTCAGTAATGTCAGGATCAAAACGTCGAAGTAGGGTGTACATTTTGCTCAACATTTTAATCCACCAATCTGATTTGACCGACTTTTGTGATGTGTATCTAAAACTATTAGAGCAGTGTATACTAAAAAAAAAAATTTGATATTTTTTAATTATAATGTGTAATTATTATCAACATTTTTATGAAATATTAAGTTGATAAAAAGTTAATTATGTTTATTCTTTGGGAGAGTTCCTCAAAAATCCCTAAAGCTAAATTTGATTTCCTTGTCAGTCCCTCATTAAAATTTCTTCCTTCTAACTCCCTACCCTCATAATCAATTTCCTCC